CTGAAAAACACCAACCCACCCATCCAAATGGAAAAAATCAGCAGACTACTTTGATATTTTATGACCCATACTTTTTTTGGTTGTCAAAATGAGAGCATCTGCTTCACTGGCTTAGTTAGTTGGAACTTCTGTTTTTAAAGATGGATTTGTTACACTGGCTGATGAAAAAGCACCCCAAATGCAAAAACAGTTGATTTTCTAAGGCACTTAATGACTCACTTGCTGGAATTTGAGGACATTGTCTAATGCTGCGCAGGTGCTGTCCTAGGAGTACACTGTAGGTTTACTTCTGTGTATAAAATGAATGCAATGAAAAGTGCAGCCTTGGAAGGATTTTGTCTTAAATCTGTGGAAGAGATTTGGTTCAGCTCTTACAAACTCTACAGTGAATGCACATACGTGTCTAATATACATATTTTCATTGGGGATTTTCATCACGTGGATATCTGCTGCGTTGAAAACTATTTGTGTCTAAGTGCCACAGTCATGCAGTCCACCTGAAAAAGTTAGGGTGAGAGAGAACAGCCTTGGAAGAGGAAAACAGATACATCCTGTTTGCAGGTATAAAAACAGGGAGCAGCCGTACTGGGAGATAGAGACTAAAATAGAGAACTGAGGCAGCTGGATACCGTACTTTGTAAATATGCACTATTATTGTTTACTTAGCCACTTCCATTTAAAAGCACTTGACACTTCTTTTTCAAATTTGTCTTTCAATTCAAAACACTCTGTCCTTTTCTCCAGACATCAATGCAGCATACATGGGACAGACTGACTTTTTCGAGGCCAGCCAGTAAGTTTCTTAGCCTAACCTGAACTCAGACTCAGTCTGTTGCATCCAGGTCCACCAGCAATCATATACTGGTTCATAGCTGTGCATTGGCTTGAGCGTTTGAAGCCATTGCCACAACGCATCTACTATAATGGTGACCAGCGCTGGCAGCTGTAGGTGGTTTGTAGGGTTCATAATCCACACACCTGTGGATTACGTGTCTCCCTTGGCCCCTTCCAGTCCTCTTCTTCTATAAATATTACCTTCAGTTTTACAAATACAGCCAGCGCCGTCGTGGAAAGGAAGCGAAAACAAAAGCACGGCAGCTATTATTTGGGGTTCAAGCCCCACTTGCATGCCATGCCCACTCGGCAGGGGACTTTCCACCGTGCTCAGTGGGCTGACTTCTGAGAAAAGCGTGCACATGCACACGCTCGCTCCCTCGAGTCAGGCACACAAATACAGTGGTACCTCAGGTTAAGTACTTACCGTATTTTTCGCTCTATAGGATGCACCAGACCACAAGACGCACCTAGTTTTTGGAGGAGGAAAACAAGAAAAAAAATATTCTGAATCTCAGAAGCCAGAATAGCAAGAGGGATCGCTGCACAGTGAAAGCAGCAATCCCTCTTGCTGTTCTGGCTTCTGGGATAGCTGTGCAGCCTACATTCGCTCTATAAGACGCACATACATTTCTCCTTACTTTTTAGGAGGGGAAAAGTGAGTCTTAAATAGCAAAAAAATACGGTAATTCGTTCCAGAGGTCTGTTCTTAACCTGAAACTGTTCTTAACCTGAAGCACCACTTTAGCTAATGGGGCCTCCTGCTGCTGCCGTGCCGCCGGAGCACGATTTCTATTCTCATCCTGAAGCAAAGTTCTTAACCCAAGGTACTATTTCTGGGTTAGCGGAGTCTGTAACCTGAAGCGTATGTAACCCGAGGTACCACTGTAACAAAAAGCGGCTCTGATCCTGTTGCCGTCCCCCCCCCTCGCCCTTTCAACGGGCGAGGGCTTTTGCTATGTCAACAGAGGGCTGGAGGCTGCAAGTGTGGAGGAGGAGGAGCAGCAAAAAGGCGGCCTTCAGGCTCGGAATCCCAAGCGTACGTCCGAAGATATTCCGATAATACCACCTGCCTACTTACCCTCGGTAAGGGGCGACGGGTGTGGCTGGAGACAGGAGGGCACGTCGCCTAGGAATGGGAAGAGAGAGAGAGAAATCAGGTCCCCGAGGCCTCCAAAGCCCCGCTAGGCCTCAGCCCCGCCCCCTCCTCCTCTTCCTTCATATCCAGGCAACCCAGCAGGAGGAGGGGCGGCCCGCGGGCCTCTTTCCAGCCCCTCTTCTCCCCCACTGTCTCCTCTCAGCTTACCCGCCGCCTCGTCAGACCCTCGCTCGGTTTTCTTCCCCGCCTTCCCCTCCTCCTCGCCTGCCTTCCTCCCCTCTCTACCCGGTTACTACGGAGAAAGAAAACGGGGCGCGACGACGGCGGCCGCGACGCGATGACGCCATCGCGCACAGCGCGGCAGGCGACGGCCCTCTCTCCGCGCCTTTGCGAAGGGGCCTTTCGCTCCTCCGCGCGCGCCCGGGTGACGTCGCGAAGGGCGGGAAACCGTTGGAAGAAGCCCGTGGAGGGCGCGGATCCTAGAGGGAAAAAGTGTAGAGTGACACGCGAGCCTGGTTCCCCCCCCCCAAAAAAGTTATTACTGTAATAAACACACATACACAATTATTAGTAGGAGAGATGGGATAGAAATAATGATGATCAAGTATTCCAAACGGAGTGGAGTAAATTTATACGATATTTGAAAGATTATTGTAAGCAGTTCGCATCACTAGCAGGATGGTCTGAAGATGAGAATTTTTCTCTCTATTTTCATTTAAATTTTGAGCTATTTTGTAATGAGTGTAATTAGAATGGGAAAACGTATAAAATGCAATGATATAAAGGTTAATTTTGAAAGCCATGAGGCAGGAGGGAAGGAAGTCGATAGGCTCTAGTCTAGAGAGCCAAAGCGGCAAAGTGGATAACGATGATGTGAATGTATAATATTAAATGGAAAATAAATTTTATATATATATATATATATGTGTGTGTGTGTGTGAATGAAATAATGAATCAGTATCATGTTACTGTCTCCCATCTAGCCCATCTAGTGCATTACATACACTGACTGGCAGCAGCATTCCAGCTCATGGGCATAGCCGGCGGGACAGCTGCCCCCCAGTCAATAAAAATACATAGCTGAGCTTCTGCCCCCACCAACAAAAGGCCTCCCCCTGCCACAAAAATCCTGGCTATGCCCATGTTCCAGCTGGAGATGTCAGAGATAAAGTCAAGGACCTTCTGCATGCTAGGCATGTGTTTTACATGCTAGGCATGTGGGACGCAGGTGGCGCTGTGGGTAAAACCTCAGTGCCTAGGACTTGCCGATCATATGGTCGGCGGTTCGAATCCCCGCGGCGGGGTGAGCTCCCGTCTTTCGGTCCCAGCTCCTGCCCACCTACATCGAAGCCCCTAAGTCAGCTATGCGGAGGGGTTTATTGGCGTGGTGCTGTCGCCAAGCAACACGTGCCGGAGTGTTCGAAGTTCACAGCTGGCTCGCTCTTAATGAGTGGGTAAAGACATACAGGCAGGGTTTTACTTTACTACAGCTTGGGGTTAGTAACAGTGGATTGAATTCAAGGCTGCTGTAAGACATGTTTCTCACCATCGGCACACATATCCGCTCATCCCAATAATATGGGAATAAGAACTACAAACAGTATTTTCAGAAGCAACATATTTTATTTTATTTTTTTAAAGGAAGGCCTGGGGGAGGAGGGGGTGAATGGCATCAAAACTAAACTGAAAGTCCTCTCTGAGTGCTTAGAAAAAAGCAACCACCATGCATAATATTCCAGGCCTCTGGATATTTTTGAAAGGATGTAGTGTGTGTTTTTTTTTAAAAAAAGGTGTAGACCTGTCATATTATTAATAGTAGGGCTATGAAGCTTTTTTTCATTTTTTTTCTATTTCCCGGCACCTTAATAATTAATGGCATAAGCTTTTGTGTACTACAGTCCACTCCATCAGCTGAAAGTTTATGCCATAATAATAAATGTGTTGGTGCCTCAAGTCTCCTTGTGGAATTTCCCAGACATGTGTTTGTTTGTTTATTTATTTTGGGGAGATTTGGCAACCCCAGCCAACACCAGAGCATGTACAAAGTATTCTCTCCCCCCACCCCCACCCCTTCCTGGAAGTGTCTCAACCAGCTTCTCACACGTTTCTGGAGGAAATAATAACAAAAATAATAAAAAGACCCTTGTGCCTTCCTTTTGCCATTGCAAATAGAGTAAAAAACAACAACAAACCCTCATCAAGGTCCAAGAGATTTTATCAGCCTCTGCAGCCGCTTCGGGGGGACAGATGCAGGGCCAGATTTAGGTTTGATGAGGCCCTAAGCTACTGAAGGTAATGGGACCCTTTCTATGTCCAGCTGTCCTTTGTCAACAACAACAAACTGTCACTGTTTTTTGTGTTGAATATATACTGTATGGTAATTTATGGACCTAATAGTAACAAAACATGTATTTTATCAAAGTTATTGTTGAACTGAAATACAGTTAAGAAGTATATTAATAGTGAAATAATTATTAAGCTCTAACTTAAAATGATTTTTTATTCATAACTAAATAATGCAAACACCCTGGCATTTGGCAATAACAAAAGTTCCTTTAGAAACGCAATTTATAAAGACTCATAATCTAGTCCCTAGGAACTTGCTATAACATGAAATAATAATAGGTGTAAATCTATGATGCAAACTGCTAATAATTATAAATAGCAGAATGTAGGCACCCTATATATGAGCAAACCAGTGATATTTTAGGGAACAGGCTAGCAGACGGGGCCCATGACTTAAATCATAGGAGCCTACACAACACAAAACACTGTTGCTGCATGTAGGTTTGATTTGATTTTTTATCTTATGTATTTTGGAAACGTACATCCAGTTTTTCCCCCCTTTAATTTTTTTTGGGACCCCCAAGAAGGTGAAGCCCTAAACTATAGCTTGTTTAGCTTATACTGTATATAAGTAAACCCGGCACTGCCCCTTTCCCTAACCCCGAAGGGAAGCGGGGCAAAGGCCTCCGAGTCCGCCCGGCTCCCAGCCACTCCTCCTCCTCCTCCTCCTCTTCCTCCGCCTCTCACCTTTCTTTGGCCTTCAGGCGAGAGGCGCCTGCGCAGACTTACGCAACTCGCGTACCTTACGGGAGGAGGAGGAAGGAAACCGCGAGCGTAAAGTCCGGCAGGCAGGCAGGCGAGCTGGGCCTCGGGAACGTCGTTGTAGCGGCAGCGCCGGCCTCAGGTACCCCGGGGTTGCGCCGGGTGGGTCAGTTTGAAGGGTTCGGGGTTCGGGGTACGGGGAGAGGGGCGAAGGCTAAGGGGAGTCCGCTGGGCCCTTCTCTCGCCCTCCCAGGTCTCTGGGTGGTTCCTAAGCGAGTCAAAAGCAGCTCCATAGGGGTAGACAGTTGGCTGCCCCCTTTCCAGGCCTGGGACGAAAGTCTCTCTGCCTTTCGCTCTCCTTTGGAATTTGTAGGTCGGTGTCCAGGACACGTGTGTACGTACGACACGTGTGTAGCCGACCCAGCCCGGTCGTGGGAACAGTGTTGAAATAATAACTGTTTTGTAAGCTGCTTCTGCTGCCGCTGTTACAAGAAAAGGGGTGTTTTGTTTTTTTGTTTCCTCCCCCCCGCTCTCTTTTATTGTTCTTAATTATTATTTACAGTGCTCTTCAATTTAGTGTTGCTTGCAAGCTGCCCAAGGTTGCTTTTGTTTTTATTGCTGGGTAGCTATATAAATAATAAAAAGAGGGGGTTATAGAAGCAGAGATTGGCTACTAAGGTTGTGGTATGGGTTGTTTATCTTGATGGGGGAAGGGAGTGCGTGTGTATGCAACACACGTGTGTGTTCATTGGGAGAGGACAAAATATCTTAACAGTACTGCATAGGGGAAATGCTGTTTTATGTCATGTACCTCAAATGGCTCTCTCTCTTATAGGAACTCTTGGAGTTCCTGCAGCTCAGTGTGTGGGAATTTTGTGACCTGTTTGGTAAAACATGGTGGAAAAATCCAAAGTACATAATCTCTCATACGCTTAGAAAATGAATGCTGGCTTCCTAGAATTCGACAGCATAATTTTTTATTTTTTCCAGCCTCCGTTTTCTTTTCACCTGACAGTCTACAGTGCTTGTCCAAAATCACTTAATGTGGCTTAGTTTTACCTGCTAAAGCTCTTTAACTACCTGCCATACTCAGATTTGGAATTAAAAACCACTGGAGGGAAGAGCACTTTTGTGCTCCTGGTTGGCCACTGTGAGAACAGCATGTTGGACAAGATGGCCTGATTTGGCAGGCTTTTATTCTGCTCTTAAAAGGGACAGATAATTTCCTGGTGCATGCTTGGGAATGGGGAGACTGCTCTGTAAATCTGAGTATTGGACCAGGTTGTTGGGGAGGAGGCTTTTTCAGCATAATTGAGTATAGTTCTGAAAGGGTGCAGTTCTAAATCATCAAATTGGATAAACCTATTTTGTTCTTTCCTATAATCCAGTGGTTCACCAGCTTGAGTTTGAGGTGAAATGATAGGCAGGATAGAAGAGCCAGATACAGAGATATCTCATTACTTGCTTCTCCTAGGATGTATGTATGTATGTATGTATGTACAAGCCAGTGAGCCAAGCTGCTGTTATAACTAGAGTAGCCTTCTCCAACCCCAACCTGGTGTCCCCTCTGGGTGTTTTAAACTACACCTCCCATTATCACTAATTCTACCATGGTGTTGATGGCAGGGGTCCCAAACATTTGGAGGGCACCAGGTTGGGGCACACTGGACTCAAATTGCCGCTTGCCCATGAAGTTCACTGGTTGACCTCCTTTTTTTTAAAAAATAAAACTTTAAAATCTTTATAAATTCCAGCTTTTAAATTTCTTATGCATTTCTTAAACTTTCCGCCTTTCCTTTCGTGTTGTTCTTAATCCCATCCCATTCATTCTATTAGACATTTCACCTAACACATACATATTCTTCTTTTTCAAATACTATCATTTTTCTTCAGCTGCTCATATTTTGAATGCTGCTCACAATTTCTTCTGATTATGATATTTTTTCACATATTCCAAAAGCTCGTTGACCTTGAGCCGGTCTCTCCCTCTCTTTCAAACCTTTCAGGGTTGTTGTGAGAGCAGACAGAATTGGTGGGAAATGTACAGCTAAACTATGCCTTGGGGTTTCTGACAGCCTAGTTTGGTGGAAGCCTTTTTTGATGTTACTATGTTAAACAGTTGCAGGTCAGAAACTCCTACTGCGATCGTCAGGTAATCTATCTGAAGAGCTCAGTCTTACCTTCCAACTGTGCCTGCTCTAAATAGATAGGTATATTAGTAGGAAGACCAGAAGTACCAGGCATATTAAGGGTAGGGTGATTTTATTATATTATTTATTTATTTCACAAAATTTGTACACCCATTTTGTCATAAAAGCCCAACACTCCGCCCTCAGCCCCAGCTTATTTATCTCCCTAACCTCCCTATGCAGGTGGCGCTGTGGGTTAAACCACAGAGCCTAGGACTTGCCGATCAGAAGGTCGGCGGTTCGAATCCCTGCAACGGGGTGAGCTCCTGTTGCTCAGTCCCTGCTCCTGCCAACCTAGCAGTTCGAAAGCACGTCAAAGTGCAAGTAGATAAATAGGTACCGCTCCGGCGGGAAGGTAAACAGCGTTTCCGTGCGCTGCTCTGGTTCGCCAGAAGCGGCTTAGTCATGCTGGCCACATGACCCGGAAGCTGTACGCCGGCTCCCTCGGCCACTAAAGCGAGATGAGCGCCGCAACCCCAGAGCCGGTCACGACTGGACCTAATGGTCAGGGGTCCCTTTACCTTTACCTTTAACCTCCCTACAAGCAAGCAAGCAAAACCTCCTGCGTGTAACCTGTTCCTACTCCTCCCTCTTCAGTCATCTTCTGGTCGTGGGGAAATGATTGAAGAGGAGAGGAAGGTGTGGAAGTCCTTGACGCTATGCCAGCCTGACCTATCTCTCCTGGCACTGCTCTTCATTCTCCTATCCTGTAGCTTCTCCTGCCTCTGACTCTTGCCTCCTGGCTGTTACAGACTCCCCCAGACCACTGATCCCTCCTTCTTAGTCGTTCTCCGCAACTCCCCTTCTCCCGGTTGCCCGCTCATCGGTATTTAGCCACCACTCCTTAGTGTCCAGCCCAGTCCCTGATAACGGCCAGGCAAGTGGAGAGACTGGGGGTCGGCTACATTTTTAGTTTGAAGGCAGCTGTTGCTCTGCACACTTGAGTCAATTTGGCATTCAGAGAGTGTGTGCCAAAAGCACTACAGCAGCCTATATCTCCTTCATGCATCCTTTTTTATTTCCCAAGCCTGCCTGCTTATAAAACGTAGCTGATGGATGGAAGCGCTCTGGCTGCTCTTGCTAATTTTAGATTGCCTAACCTAGATTGAGTTCCTTTTAAGGAGCTACTCCTTGTAACTGTGGAATACGGAAGGCTGTGGTGTTGCAAGCGGCAGGTACTGACAACAGGCATTGACAGTGTCAGTCTGTAACATAACCCTAACAAGGACCTCAGCTCCCAATGATACTGTGATGTGAGATTTGCAGATGGGTGCAATTCGTTTTTTATTGATTGCTGTCCAAAACAGCAGTCTTCTTCCAGCAGCAAATGGAAACTTCCCAGTGCTACACAGTAATTTACTAACTATACTGTACTGAGAAGTGTTATATGAGTTATGGACGATGACAGTTGCTTGTACAGCAGGTGAGCTGTATTGTAACCAGGGTGGCTTTGATTTAAATCACAATATAAATCACTAGTCAGTAAGACTTGATTTAAATCACTAGTCAGTAAGGCTTGATTTAAATCTTTCTTTTTTTTTTACAGAAAGACTCATTCTTGCTAGTATAATCTTAATATTTACAACCAGATGAAGGTTTCATTTTTGGAATAATAAATTTTCAGAGTAGTTTTTATAGTTATATCAAAAATTACCGTACTGATTTGGTTATACTATTAGAAATACACTGACAGATAATTATGAAATTGTGAGGTTTAATAAGTTAACTGTTTATATTTGGACAACTTTTCTGCTGTACTTTATTGGAAGGAGAAAAATAATCATTTCCTTAATAACAATTTAACAGTTTATCTAACTGAAACAATAACATTATAGCATATGTATCCATGGTGCTTCAGGTTAAGAACAGTTTCAGGTTAAGTACGGACCTCCGGAACGAATTAAGTACTTAACCCGAGGTACCACTGTACTTTGATAATCCAGCTCTTAAATTAGATAGGTTGCAATCCTATACCCATTTACCTGAGAGTAAGCCCCACTGAACTCAGGGGGACTTACTTCTGTGCAGACAGGCATTGGATTACACTATCAGTGCACAAAAGGTGAGTAGTCCAAACCAATGATTGGCAGACCTGACTGGCTTCCCTATGGTGACAGAAAAGAGAACAAGCTCAAATTCTAGTGTGTTCAGGAAGAGGTTTTGTCCCTCTACCCTCTTAGTAGTCTCTTTCCTCTTTTATATCTGAGTAATTGAGAAGTGTTGTGCAATGCTACTTCTGTGTAGCTAAAATGAAACTTAGGGTGTGGCTCCCCCCCCCCTGTAATTTATTGTTCAGTTTTTGTTATAACAAATCAACAACAGATTTAGTACTCCTATTCAAAAAGAGAGGGTAACAAATCAACAACAGATTTAGTAGTACAGTGGTACCTCGGGTTACATACGCTTCAGGTTACATACGTTTCAGGTTACAGACTCCGCTAACCCAGAAATAGTACCTCGGGTTAAGAACTTTGCTTCAGGATGAGAACAGAAATGGTGCTCTGGAGGCGCGGCAGCAGCGGGAGGCCCCATTAGCTAAAGTGGTGCTTCAGGTTAAGAACAGTTTCAGGTTAAGAACGGACCTCCGGAACGAATTAAGTACTTAACTTGAGGTACCACTGTACACCTATTCAAAAACAGAGGGTGACTTTGGCTACGTACCTATACAGTCATACCTTGGGTTGAATGTGCTTCAGGTTGAGCGCTTTCGGGTTGCACTCCGCAGCAACCCAGAAGTAACGGAGCGTGTTACTTCTAGGTTTCGCCGCATGCGCAAACACTCAAAATGATGTCACACACTACCACTGTAATTTCTTTTACTTTCATGGGTTTCATGTCAATTAGTTGAAGAACTGTCTACATTTGCTCTTAAAACAGTCCAGATTTGTGCATATGCAGCTGTTAGTACCAGTCTGTAGTGAAAGTGTCCACATGCTTCTTTCAGTACCTCGAGCTTCTAAGTGAGCTTCTCTGTCAATGCAATTTTTCATAATTAGCCAAACCAGTAGTCCAAAGTTTCCCCTTTTAGGTCTTGCCGGTAACATGCAGGAGGTGGCCTTTTGCTCTTAGAACCATGTGTCTGCCCACGACTCTTTCTCTGGCCCACACACATGTCTTACATTTCCTAGAGGAGCATAGTGTAGAAGTGTTGTAACATGACCACCACATCTTTATTTGTACACCTGATACGTAAATGGCATGCAGCTATAACTGCAGATTGATAAATTTCCCAGCATGTTGCTTGCAGCCGACAGGGAGTTGCCGGCCTCTTGAGTTGCTATTTTAGGAAGGGGCACGTGCTGGATGTTTCTGTATTCCCAGGTCTGAAGATTTCGGTATTTGCTGCCTTTTTGCTTTCCCCAGCAATAATGAGAAGCGTGTGCTTCCTGGTGGCCACTCTCTTCATCCCGTGGGGCCTCGTTTGGGCAAAGTTCGATGAGTTTGACGACGGCGATGACATTGTGGAATATGATGATAATGACTTCGCTGAGTTTGAAGATGTGATAGAAGATCCTGCGACTGAATCTCCCCAGCGGGTCGTCACGACCGAAGATGACGAGGAGGAAGCCACTGTTGAGCTTGAAGGTCAAGACGAAAATCTTGACTTTGAGGATGCTGATGCGCAGGTGATAAAGCCGGGGGAAGGGTTGGCCTGTTCTTTGTCATTTTTGGTTTGAGGGAGGGTTGCTGATGGTGGAGTTACGAGGTTGGCCAGTCTATTCCACTGGCAAAGCCAGATTTTATATATTAATTAGGTTTTATGTTGCATTTAATTAACAATTACATTTCTGTACTGTTTGTCATGAACGCTTCCAAAGCGGGGTACAAAGATGCAAAGTTTAACATTAGGGTTACCATGTTTTGATGAGCAAAAAAGAGGACATGTTTGCCGACTTCTACTTTTAACTATGGATCGCTGCGATGACTGTATACCCGTGAAAAAGAGGACGTGTCCTGGAAAAAGAGGACATATGGCAATCCTAAATTCAAAAGACCAATTAAGTTGAAGGAAAATAACTATAGAAAGCAGAAGCATCATTAAACAAACAGTCAACACGGGCTCCTTGAAAAACAAAAGTATTGAGGTTTTTTTATATTAAAAAAGAACAGTACGGGGTGTGGGGAGGCATAGGAACTTCTTGAGAAGGGGCATCTCATAACACTGGGGCATTAATGGTAGCACCCCTGCTGTAGAGAAGCAGAATGCAGCATTGCTTGTGGCATGAGGTTTGGCAAGCATTCCCTCATGGCTGGATGTGGTCTTTGCAGCAAGCTTTCCCATGCCTTGGAAAGCAATCATGTGCATGTAAACTTGGAAGTAAGTCCCGCTCAGTTCAGGTAGGTAAATAGATGTAGGCTGGCAGTCTAAATACTTCAAATCCGCACCATCTTTCTGCACATGAATTGAGTGCCAAGTCGGACAATTATGTGGGCTGTATTGAAGTAACCCATCATTGCAATCAGATGTCTTCTTGGCATCCTCATTCTTTTGAAGTCGCATCCTTGCTAACTTGATTGATCTTGCACTGTACCTCAACTCACATGTTTGTGTCTGCCGCCTCCCGTTTCATCCACCTGATGGAATAGGCTGTTGCTTACGAAAGCTCATGCCACAATTAAGCAATCAGTCTCAAGGGTGTTACTGTGCTCTGTCTTCCAGTTACCACAGACCTACGGATTGCAAAGGCAGTAGGGCAAGGATGAGGAAGGTAATTCAGCTTGAGGTCCACATTCCATCACAGGCAACCTTCCATGGGCTAGTTAGACATGGTGGATGGCACAGCTGATGAGACTTCTCTTCCTTTCTTCAGAAGGCTACATTCCAGGCCTGCAAAAGTCAAAGTTTTCTACATACACCCAGACATATCTCTCCATCCTCTTTCCAGGCAAACAGGCAGCCTTATCACCAATCGGGGATATGTTTCAGCCAGGCAGAACTGCACTTGTGGAGTGCATGGAACAGAGCCAGTCGTGACTGAGGCCTGGGGAGAGTCCTGAAGGCCAGATGGAACCCAGCCCCTGAACCTGAGGAGCATCTGTAGATAGGATACTATTAAATGGAGACTTGGTGTCAATGGCACCTACCTTTTCAAGCCATGAGAGTGCTCTCGGGTTAACTCCTTTTTGACGTTTACAGTAGGGCACGTTGTCCTTTTGTTGTTTGCACAGCCTCTGAGTGTGGATTAACATTGTCACCTCTTTGCGTTGTGCCTGCGCTAGGAAGAAACGTAGCTGGCCATCCCTTTCAATTTTGTTGCAGAAGCGGGTATGAAAGATGCAGCCTTCTTTTTCCTAGCTAGGCAAACATAGATGTGCTGCACCCCACAGCCACCCAGATGCTATCAAACATAGCAGAGAAACCATTGCAAACAATTACCGGGTTTCCTAGAAGCAAGTTTAATGTCATATACCGAGCTACTCTGAATTGGCTGAAGGTACATGGTGCTGTTATATTTAATCCAAAATCTCAGTTTGCTCAGGGGCCCAATGGATATTATTTTGGAGCCCTATGTGAGCTGCTTTGAGTTTTCCAAAGGAAGGTTGAACTATAAAGATTAATGTCACAATTCAGGGTGGCTCCTTCAGTTTAAAGCTATATCCAGTGGCAGTTCCAGCAGTAAATATAGATACAGTAGAAGTTGACTTCATTGAAACATTTGACATTTTCAGTATCTTTTGCTTTCTTATTGTAGGAAGGTGATACAGAGAGTGAGCCTTACGACGATGAAGAGTTTGAAGGCTACGAGGAGAAACCTGATGCATCTCCCGGCAAGAGTAAAGATCCTATAACAATTGTTGATGTAAGCCCATGTACTAGTTTTACATGTAGCCCCTAATTAACAGTAGCTCATAGTGGCCCTAACCTACCAATTCAACATCACTAAGCTTCATTGGGTTGTTTCCAACCAAATAATACAAGTAGATCCTGTTGAAATCAGCAGACTCGGCTAGCTTAAGTGGGTTGATTTCAGTGGGTTTGCTCTTGAGTATGACTTAGTTGGATGTATTCGTTCATGTGTTGAGCTTCCTTTCATTTGCTGTTTTCCACTATACTCCCCCCCCCCCTTTCCACAGAAAGCATACAGATTTTTCTGGTGCTAGGCCCCATCCCATGTGAAGTTAGTCAACTGCCCAGAGTGATCTTTTGTTCTTTCAAAGACGCTGTGCAGTTGCTCAGTATCCTATCATTCTTTTCTAGTAACTGATATTTTGTACATTGCCTGACATTGCAGTAGCACACTGGCAGTGCCCAGGTTTTAGGCTGTAGAAAAGGTAATTAAATTTCATTAAGTTGTAGGGTTGAATGGGCCGGGGTAATCACTGAAGTCTTTATTATTAATTAATTAATATTACAGTAGTACCTTGGTTGTTGAACAGCTCCCGAACAAATCGACTCCCGAATGCCGCAAACCCGAAAGTAAGTGTTCCGGTTTGTGAACATTTGCGATGTGGCTTCTGATTGAGTGCAGGAAGCTCCTGAAGCCAATCAGAAGCTGTTTGTGGATAGCTCAGTTGGTTAGAGTGAGGCGCTGGTAACGCCAAGGTTGCAGGTTCAAACCCTGCATGGGACAATACTATGAATCCATAGCTGCGCCTTGGTTTTTCAATGGTTCTGGGAGTTGAACGGACTCCTGGAACGGATTAAGTTCGACAACCAAGGTATCACTGTATTATTATTATTATTATTGTTAAATTAAATTTGTATACCGCCTTTCATCCGAAGATCACAGGGTGGTTCACAACATAAACATACAAAATGAGAACACATAATACAGAACAAAACAAAAACAAACCAACAACCCCTCCCCTCCCACAAATTTAAAAAGCCACAAAATGTTTGGTCAGCTAAGATTGCTCATAGAGAAGTGTTTTTGCCTTGTGCCTAAAGATATGCAATGAAGGTGCCGGGCAAGCTTCCTTGGGGAGAGCATTTCACAAGCAGGGAGCCACTGTAGAAAAGGCCCATTCTCAAGTTGCTGCCCTCTGGGCCTCTTATGGAAAGGGCACAGAAAGACGGGGTCTCAGATGATGAACGCAGGGTGCAGGTTGGGTCATACGGGGAGAGGCATGCAAAGCACCGAGCCACTGCCCAGCGCAGGATTTTTTTGATTCGATATATTATGTCTTGAGTTTAGTAACTGGTGTAGTAACTGGTAGTTCCTAAAAGAATAAAAAACACACACACAATGTGTCTTATAACTTGCAACCAGATTTTGCTGTTGTTGTTGAGCAACTGATTTCCTCCCAAAATGAAGTAGTTTTAACAATGTCCAAATTCAACCGCAGGTCCCTGCCCACCTCCAAAATAGCTGGGAGAGTTACTACATGGAAATCTTAATGGTGACGGGGCTGCTTGCTTACATCATGAACTACATCATAGGGAAGAATAAGAACAACCGCCTTGCTCAGTCCTGGTTCAATAGTCACCGGGAGCTGCTTGAAAGTAACTTTGCCCTTGTTGGTAAGTTGCATCCTAAAGCCTGCCTAGTAGCTTCTTACTCCTTCCCCAACACTTGACCAGAGTTACAGGAGAGGTGCTGAGGATTCATAAAGTTGGTGTGGATCAAAGCGTAGCTTGGCCCAAGAAGGTGGCATACAAAGGGGAGGAGAGAATGAATTTAAAGTGTGTGCAAAATCAGCCAAGTTCTTCAAACCTCCTCCCGAGTTTTTCAGTTTTCAGTTGTGTGAGCTGAGATGTCAAACGGAGGAGTGAGACATATCTTGCATTAGAGGGCTGAAGTCTGGTGACATGCTAAGGGAATCAGGTCAGGGGTTGAAGAGGTAAAAACTGAACGCGGACAGTGCAGAATCTTGGGGAGAGGCCAGCACTGAGCGAAGAGGGAACAATACTCCCAGGAAATCCATTGCAGTGTTGGAAGGAGCAAGAAAAAGAGCAAGGTAAAATTGGGAAGAGTGCATTGCTGAAAGAGATAAAAGTGACAGTCTGCTTAGAGATTGCAAAACTTAAGAGATTGCAAAGAGTTCACAAAGAAATCAGAGATGTACTTACAGAAGATAAGTCTGTAAGAGCGCACAAATTCAGAGAGCTGGGGATCGTTCCAAAAGGGGATGCCACAGGAGGCTGCTGGAGGAGAAAAAGTGGAATATCAGCGTAGAGCAAGGAACAAGGTTTCAGGCTTTTTGAAGCACACCTTTTTGCATGCTTGAGCAAACTTGATGCGATACACAGATGGTATATGTAAGATCTGATCACATCCCATTTTTAAGGTGGAAAGTAGGGGTGGAGGTGATCTCTTGGGTATACTGTTGCAGGTCATTTAAGGCTTTTCAGATCCCCATCTTCACGTTGCAGAGCCTGAAAGGCAACAGGGAGGCAGAGCAGCCACTGGAGTATTGGTGCAGCATGTTGCAGCTATCCCATCCCCATTGGAAGGCAGGCTGCAGTATTTCATACCGACCAAAGCCTCTGAGTTGTCAAAAGCAGCCCTCCATATGGCATACTGCAGCGTTGTCTTAAGTATACAGTAATAAACTTTCGTTGATCAGCTTATGCTTTCTTTTAAGGGGATGACGGCACAAATAAAGAAGCCACAAGCACGGGCAAGCTGAACCAAGAGAACGAACATATTTATAACCTGTGGTGCTCCGGGAGGGTGTGCTGTGAGGGCATGCTTATACAGCTCAAGGTATGAGAGAAAGCATCTCAAAGTGTTTTGTGCATTACATGTCTGCAAGTTGAGTATTTAGGCAACAGACTCCAAATGACGTCACTCTGTTAAAAAGCACAGGAGGATGAAGGTTGGCGGGTGGGATGGGATGCAGACATTGCAAGACCCTATAGCGTAAATGCCAGTGAATCAAGCAGCACCTCTTTTTGGAATCAACTACCCAGGTAGTATTTCATTATATAAATAAGTGCCTTTGGGAAGACATAGAATTAACACACCCACACAAACAATCCATATGAAATGGCAGTGGTGTTCACTGTAGTATTATTATTTTTAATAACTCTGCGAAGAGAGCAGGAATAGAACACTTGTTTCCAGATAGGAACTACAGCTGAGCAGGAGAGAGAGAAAGTTCTGAAGCAAACCAGGGAACCAAGAGCTCAGCCCCACCTTTTACCCTGGCAGAAAAGAGGAGCATGTGGAAAGGCAAGGCTCCATTCTGCTTGGCTGCTTGCAGGAGAGATGCAGTTCATCTGCCTTCCTGCCTCAGCAGACATGCCTCCCCAGCCTGATCTCCCGCTATGACAGGGCCCAGGCAAATGCTTGCATTCTGGCTTTTGTTTAGATTGGTCAACGTCCTCCCTTCTGAGGTGCATCTGATCTTGTCATTGTACACATTTTGGGTCAGTGCACACCGTTTTGCACAAAGGAGGATGAGGACAGAATATTCCTCCCATTGCAGTGTTGCTGTTGCTGTTGCTGACTGCTGTTTAATTAACAATCTTGAAATGTTTATGCATTACATGGTTTACTTGTTAGGTTAAGCTGTATGTAACTTGCCCTAGGACCACATAGTGAAGGGCGGACTAGACACACGACGGGGCTAGACCTGCTGGAGCAGCTTCTCAGCAGGAGCGTAGTGCTGCTTGCTGGGAGCGGTAAGACAGTGACTAGGTTGGGGCTGCACAGGCGCATCAGTGAGAGGGCAGTGTTGGTTCTGCAGCATGCCTGCATAGCTCACATCTCACCACTCTCTTGCTCCTCTTCCTCCTCCTCTTCCTCCTCCTGTTAAGCAGCAGCAATGCTCCACCCCACTAGGCTAGCTGCTCCTGGGGTTGCAAATGCATTTAAATAAAAATAAATGTGTGGAGAACACAAATGATCCCAGAAGGTAGTCTTGAAATTGCACAATGCAGCAGCTTTGCTGAAGATAGCCATGCCTTGGTCTCGTCATGGCACACATTAGGTTTCTAGGTGGAAGAAGATATTGCTAACTTCTCCAAGCCAGGCCATTTTGAATTCTGTGGTGGAAGAAGCAGGGTTTAAATGTAATAAAATGAAAGAAGCAATAAATACCAAGCTCAGATGATTATTGGGAGCTGCAGTAGGTATTCTTTGCACTAGCAGGACGCGCCAGTATTTACATTTGTAAGGCAGGGATTCCTATGGTACATCTCACATAAGCTGATTTTAATGGGCCTTGCAAGAACATGCCATTCTGTGCTGCAAGTCTGGAGCAGGGTTTCACCACGGTCAAAATGCTGTCTTTCAGTTTCTCAAGAGACAAGACTTGCTGAACGTTCTCGCTCGCATGATGAGGCCATCCTGTGACCAAGTGGTAAGTGTTTAGTTCTGTGGCCTAAGGGAGCTTTTAAGTTCATGAAACTATATTTGAGGTGCATGTTACACACAGAAATGAGTGAATACAGTGCTGCCACAGTCATGCTGAGAATGTTGTTAGTTAATGAAAGCAACTCCCCCAAGTTTCTAGCACGTGAGCCTGCGAAGGCAGACTTCTTAACCTGTGGTGTTTGCTGAAATTCTCAGAAGCCCGAGGGAGTCTCAGCAGAATTTTGGAATAGGGAGCATGGGGCTGTATTGCTCTGCATAAGAACTTGCCTGGCTCCATGTCCATCAGAATCAGAGCACGTTACGCAGAAATAATTATACACACATTTTGTAATTTATTCTGGCTGCAGAATTCTGTGCTTTTGTCTAGAACTACCGAGAGTTGCTCTTGCTGCATGCTGCAACTGAAAGCGTGTAGCAGTGCCAGCCGCTAATAATACTCTCTGTCATTCATTCCCAACCCAAAGTCAGGAATTACTGTCCAAAGCGGGAATAGCTGTGTAGGCATGCAATGAGAGGTTGCCCTGCCAATTCCTTCCATTTCCCTGCCATCATAAGGGGCTTGAACGTAGGACTGTGATTTCTTTTACTGGGAATATCCTTTGCAGTAGAATTAAGCGAAGCAATGCTTCACTTACTGGGTGGGTTAAAAAGATTGCAGTTCAGTTTAATGTGGTTCAAACAAAACCGTTGACACTGCTTAGGGTGATAAAGTATGCAGTAAGTTGTTCTAGCGGTGGTAACACCTTGCTGCTAGAGGGGACCTATTATTTACTCACCTGGTGTTGTGTTATGAAGGAGAAGTAGTCATTTATGTTATGCCCTCTTGTAATTATATTTTAGAGGACCTTTGTAATTACCTTGGGGCTCCCATCCAGCCTGACCCTGATCTTTGCTGATAGCCCTTTGTAAAGCCTGAATCTATTTTTGCTTTTGGCAATGGCATGGAGTCCTGGCCACTGCTTTCCTCTTTCTTGTATTTATGTCCTTTTTTGTGTGCAAGCCTGGGTGTGACAATCGTTCTGTCTGTTGCTCAGCAAATAAAAGTTACCATGAATGACGACGACATGGATACCTACGTGTTTGCTGTTGGGACAAGAAAAGCTTTGGTGCGGCTTCAGAAGGAAATGCAGGACCTGGTATGTTCCGGGACATTGGGAGGAAACCAGAATATATGTAATGTACTTGAAAATGCATAAAAATGGCATTTGGCCCCAAATTGCCTTAATGGTACGCTTCTTTAAATCACCTGATGTAGTCTGCTGCTAAGAACCCTGACTTGGGTGCAGTCGTTGCATTTGCTGAACATAATTCAGCACAGTGGGGTGGTACAAATGTACTGCTAAGCAATGGTTTAGTGCTATGTGAAGGAAGTCTGGCAGGACCCTCTTCCTCATGTTTTGTCGTCCCTTCATTGTCTGCAATTCCCTCCCTGGTTTGTCACAATCCATAGTTTCTTCTGTGCCATTTGAACTAACAAACAGTGGTTTGTGGTTGCTCAGCAAACCAAAATCGAAAACCACAGCATGGTTCTATTTTCTGCCTCAAGCCAGGAAGGGAAGGAATTTCAGCATGCGAAGAGAGGCTAGAGGAAAAGCATTGGTGGTACACCCAATTTCCTTTGCGATGAAAATGAGTTTTTTATACTCACTGTATTATTAAAGTGCAGGTGATACACCTGAGTGATGAGCATACGTGCTCACCTTAGTCTATCATTCATAAGAACTAATTCAAAAACTCCCTTTAGTGCCTATAGAATTTCAAGATTCAGCCTCTATGCCAGTTATAAAAAAGAGATAAAGTTTGTTGATTTGGAGCATTTTTGTCTTTATAGTTTACCCAGACATGCCATTAAAATGCCCTAACGTACCCTGAGGCTTGAGGGAAGTCATTAAAAAAAATACAGTGGTGCCTCGCAAGACGGAAAACTCGCAAGAAGAAAGAGTTTTTCGAGGTGCTTCGCCAGACGAATTTCCCTATGGGCTTGCTTCGCAAGAAGAAAACCCATAGGGAAATCTCCGGGGACCTCTTTTAAAATGCTGGCGGTCGGGAGCAAAGACTTTCGCCCACCGCCGGCCTTCAGAAGAGGTCCTGGACCTCTTCTGAAGGCCGGTGGGGGGCAAAAGTCTTTGCTCCCAACCGCTGGCCTTCCCAGGACAGCGGAGACTTCTCCACTGTCCCGGGCGATCTTAAAATGCTGGCGGGCGGCAGCGAAGCCTTCGCTGCCGCCCGCCAGCATTTTAAAATCGCCCCGGGACAGCGGAGGCTTCGCTGCCGCCCGCCAGCATTTTAAAATCACCCCGGGACAGCGGAGAAGTCTCCGCTGTCCCGGGGGCTTTTAAAATGCTGGCGGGCGGCAGCAAAGCCCTCCTGTCCCCGGAGCTTGCGGGGCGGGAGGTGGGGAGAAGGGCTTTTCTTCCCACCACCAGCCTTCAGAACAGCCTTCTGAAGGCTGGCGGTGGGAAGAAAAGCCCTTGTCCCCTCCCCCCCCCCCAGCCTTCAGAAGAGGTCGGGGGACAGACTGTCCCTGGACCTGGTCTGAAGGCGGTTTCCATAGGAACGCATTGATTGATTTTCAATGCATTCCTATGGGAAACCGTGCTTCGCAAGACAAAAAACTCGCAAGAAGAAAAAACTCGCGGAACGAATTAATTTCGTCTTACGAGGTACCACTGTATCCCACAAATGTAATAAAAAACAAAATTGTTGTGTATGCATATGCATGCTTTTTCTTTTGGGTCTATTGAGTCTTCAGAGGCATGCAGCAGTCTATGAATTGACCAGGGCTTCAGTTCTAGCTCTTGGGAACTTAAACCAGTTCCTAAGGTTTAAATAAATTGTGTGAACACCTGTTTACTTAAGGGGAGGTAGATGCAGTCCAGACCATGCTTGTCATAACGTGGCAATTTCTTCTTGGCAGAGTGAGTTCTGCAGTGACAAACCCAAGACCGCAGTGAAGTATGGGCTGCCAGAGTCTTTGGCTATCCTGTCTGAGATGGGTGAGGTCACAGAAGGAATGATGGATACCAAGGTAAGGTGGTTTGGGGTTTTTTTGGTGGGTTTTTTTAAAAAAAAAGATAAAATCTTTCAGGCTGTAGTTGGTGTGAACTCTCATGAGAGCTATAACAGGGCACTCAAATGCTTGAACTTTGTCTTCTGAGGTCACCATCTACAAAACTGCACCTTGCAATCACCTTACTCATCCCCCCCCCAATGAATCCTTCTGTCTTGGACAGCTATGAAAAATGGAACATTCAGCTTTGTGGGGTTGTTGTTGTTGTTTAGTCGTGTCCGGTTCTTCGTGCCCCCATGGACCAGAGCACGCCAGGCACTCCTGTCTTCCACTGCCTCCCTCAGTTTGGTCAAACTCATGCTGGTAGCTTCGAGAACACTGTCCAACCATCTTGTCCTCTGTCGTCCCCTTCTCCTTGTGCCCTCCATCTTTCCCAACATCAGGGTCTTTTCCAGGGAGTCTTCTCTTCTCATGAGGTGGCCAAAGTATTGGAGTCTCAGCTTCACGATCTGTCCTTCCAGTGAGCACTCAGGGCTCCCAATTGCAGTAAGAAAGATACCTTGCTGTTGTTGAAAATTTGAGGGTTGCCCCGGTGTCATGGGAAAGAGTCTTAGATTATTGTACCATATCCCACTATTTTTTCCAAGTTTGCGTATTCCCTAATTGTTCCTTGTTTTCCAGTTCTTCGTTATAACATACAACCATTAGTTCACGCAAGACCAGGATGATTATGATAAAGATTTTAAAATTTATTTCCCTCTTTTCACCAGTAGGTCTCAGGGCAGGTTGCAACAATTTGAAACCCAGTATTTTAAAAAAGGTTAGAACAAATGACAGTCAGGGTGCAAAATGAAAACATTTTCAATATTTGCCAAAAGCTGTATAGTGAAAATGCCAGACGTACCTCTGTGGGGTGGGCATTCCACAACTTAAGGGCTGCCAACAGATGTCTTCTCCCTTACTATTTCCCCCCTTTATATAGTGAAGATATTTTCATGCAGGGCTCAGGGTTTTTCCTGATTGATAGCTCTCTGGGGTTACAATGCCATAGCAACAACTAATATGTCTCACTGTTTTATTATTGTTCCTGGATTCTGCAGCCATTCTTCCTAATACAACAGCATAGCCACATGGTAATAGCAGTTTATATGGGGGAAAGAAAGCCCTCCTTGTGACATTAGCTGATATGGTATTACATTGACTCTGGGCACTCTGGGCTTCTTTTCTGACCAAAGAAAATTTAGCTGTACCTTCTGTCATCTTTTGAGTCATGTGTTATTTCTCTTTAGTGGCATATTCATGAAGAAAATTAGGATTCGGGGCAATACATTTTCATTTTAAACATTGAAAATCTACCCAGCCCAGATATTTTTTTCATCTGTCACTTTCTTTTAGATGTTTTCTGTGTCTTGCAGCAGCTGACTGTGTTTGAATTCAGTCAGCTGGTCTCCATTTTGATTAGGCAGATCCGAAGAGATCTTCAGGGCGGGTTATATTTGTTTACCATTTCATCTTCATTCCTTTTCAGTAGGATAAAACCAAACCGTTCTGATTTACTCAAGTTGATTTTGTACCCAGGTACTTTGCTAGGATATTTTGAGATTTTTATCAGTACCCTACAAAGTTTTCCTGGCTTTCTATTCACTGTCAGCCCAGAGACATCTGACGGGCCATTTTTTGGTAATAAAATGCTGGACCATTGATCTGACCCAGCAAGGCTCATCTTGTGGTGCTGATTGCATCATTATGGATGCAACAGGGGGGGGGAAGTAGGTTTTCAGGTAGTGTATACTATTTCATAAGCAGTGAAGAACTCCTCAGTGTGCTTTCTAGGAGCATTTCCCTTAGGACAAAGCAGGGGAGGGCCATAGCTCAGTGGTAAAAGCATCTGTTTTCTCTGCAGGAAGGGCTCAGGTTTAATCCCCGGTGTCTCCGGGTAGGGCAGAAAGAGAGAGAGCCCTCTACCTGAACCCTGGAGGAACACCGAATCTCTACAGACAATACAGGGCCAGATGAACCAATGGCCTAAGGCAGCTTCCAACGTTACAGTACAGTCGTACCTTGGAAGTCGAACGGAATCCATTCCAGAAGTCCATTTGACTTCCAAAACGTTCGAAAGCCAAAGCACAGCTTCTGGTTGGATGCAAGATTGGCTGCAGGAAGCTCTTGCAGCCAATCAGAAGCCGCGGAAGCCCCGTCAGACATTCGGCTTTCAAAAATAGTTCGCAAACTGGAACAGTCACTTCCGGGTCTGCGACATTCGGGAGCCAAAATGTTCAGGAACTAAACTGTTCAACTTCCAAGGTACGACTGTATTCCAGATCTTCTTTTTTCTTCTTCTTCTTCTAGATGATCCATTACCTCACACATTATGCTGACAAGATTGAGTCCGTCCATTTTTCGGACCAGTTTTCCGGTCCAAAACTTATGCAAGAGTAAGTATGACACAATAGATAGCGTTCCTTCAAATTAATGTTGCACTGAACTTTGTAAAGGGGGTGAGAGAGAAAACAACCACCACTGTAGGCAATCTCCTTTATTATCCAGAGAGCAGAGAAGGGTGCCCATATAGTGCTGTTCCTCTAGTCATGATAGCCATGAGTTGGGGATTCCAAACTGGCCTGGTCACATAATTTATTTAGTTTACAGTAGGCTTTGGCTTTTCTTCAGCACCAGAGGTCAGTTCTACAGTATGCGAAGTGGGAGTGCTTAAAAAATGGGCAGTCAGTAAGAAAGCACTGTTTCTGTAGAGCAGGTATATGATCCAGCTCAGGCATCCCCAAACTCGGCTCTTCAGATCTTTTGGGACTACAACTCCCATCATCCCTGACCACTGGTCCTGTTAGCTAGGGATGATGGGAGTTGTAGTCCCAAAAGATCTGGAGGGCCGACTTTGGGTGTGCCTGATCCAGCTGTTGGCTGATCCACAGCTGCTTGAAGAAGGATACGCAGAAGGAATTATAGGTTGTGTCCCAGTTACAGCGCATTAGACCATCATGCTTCCCACAGCAGTCTGCTAAGTAGTTTGTTTTGCAGCAAGTCAGAGGTAAGGGTCTGTCACGGGTTGGCCTCCTCTGTGGAAGGAGCAGATTCCCAAGACAAATTCTCCACTGCTGATAAAGGACACCTGGATGCAATTGGGCTTCTCCTCGTAGGATGCTTTTTCTTGAGTGTCTTAACACTTTGCAGTGGAGGCAAGGGAGGTAAAGGTAAAGGGACCCCTGACCATTAGGTCCAGTTGTGGCTGACTCTGGGGTTGCGGCGCTCATCTCGCTTTGTTGGCCAAGGGAGCCGGTTACAGGTTCCGGGTCATGTGGCCAGCATGACTAAGCCGCTTCTGGAGAACCAGAGAAGCGCACGGAAACGCCGTTTACCTTCCCGCTGGAGCGGTACCTATTTATCTACTTGCACTTTGATGTGCTTTTGAACTGCTAGGTTGGCAGGAGCAGGGACCGAGCAACGGGAGTTCACCCCGTCGCGGGGATTCGAACCACCGACCTTCTGATCGGCAAGCCCTAGGCTGTGGTTTAACCCACAGTGCCACCCTCGTCCCAGAGGCAAGGGAGACTATTGTCTAATCAGATTTTTTTTCTCACCAGTGTTTCCAGCGGGGTTTATTGTGGGAAATGTATTCACAAATGCCCTGCAAGGAAGTGGTGGTTGTTTAATTTATTTGTCGCTTTTTTCCCCACCACAAAGCGACTCCTAGAGCACTCAAAAAATCTCTTTGCAGGAAATTGCTGTGATAGCTTAAAATCTTCCAGACTTGGCCCATAATGAAGAATGCATGTAAACACACCCAAAACAGGAGCCCGTCATGTGTTCGCTAATGGTGATTTTAGTTACTGCCATGTTTCCTTTGTTTGTTACATTCTGTAATATCCTTCCACAAATGCTTTTTTGTTGTTTTTCTCTGCTAGGGAAGGTCAGCCTTTGAAACTGCCTGAAACTAAAAAGACACTATTGTTTACTTTTAATGGTAAGCAGCCATGCCTGTTTTCAAACTACTTTTCTTGAGGATGTAAAACGTTACAATTGGGAGCACATTTCACAGTAAGAATATAACTTGTATTGTCTCGTGGGTAAGAGTTTATTTATTTTCAGTAGCAGTCCCCCCCCCCCCGGTTGTTATAAGAGGGAGGTCCCAGAATCACAGTCACAACCTTGTTCTTGCATACCAATGCAGGTGAAGTAGGAAAGATAATGGGCGTCCTAGAAAATCTTTTGGCAGGAGCATTTCTAAATACTGGAAAATCTATAGTTGTCCTCTGTCAATGAATTGTGCAGGAAAATCAGCTGTGTGCAATGGTTATGACAAGCAACAATTCTAAAAGTTTGGGTGAGTGGGAATGATGCAGTCAAACTGAAAAATTTAAAAAATTGTCCAGTAGCACCTTAGAGACCAACTAAGTTTGTTCTGGGTATAAGCTTCCGTGGTGCATGCACACTTCTTCAGATACTACTTCAGATTTTCTTGCACAATGGAGCACAAGGGGCAATTGTTTAAATTTTTTAGTTTGCCTGTGTCAGACTAACACGGCTACCTACCTGAATTTGGAATGATGCAGTAATTCTGTTTAGGAGACAGTGTTTAAAACAGGGGTTGTAATCTCTGCAATGTTGGATTACACTCCCATCAGCCAAAGGTCAGGAAAGACATGACAGCTTAGAGGGTCACAGATTAGCCACCCCTGATTTAAAAACCATATGCTTTTTGCTTTAGAAGTACCTTTTCCCTTGTATACAAATTTGATAAACTGTTCCGTAATAAACTAATTTAATCAGCTAATTAAGGAAGCGCCCATTAAAACTTCTATCCTGAAAGTGGAGTAATGCAGAAACACTTCTGTTCCAACTGTTGTTTCTGAATGCTTTCCCTTTTCTTCAATGCCTTTAAGCTTAGGAAAGTTTACTTTTGCTTTTTCTAGTGCCTGGATCAGGCAACACCTCCCCGAAAGATATGGAAGCTCTGCTGCCTCTGATGAACATGGTTATTTATTCCATTGACAAAGCAAAAAAATTCCGTCTGAACAGAGAGGTAAGTCATGTGCTAATTGATGTGTATGGCTCTTGTTAAAAGTACAGTTTACAAAATCCTTGGTAATTCCATAACTGTCGCTCTTTCTCACAGATACATACCTGAGAGAGTGCTCTCGGCTGACTAGCATTAGTTGCAATGGGACATGATATAGCTGAGAAGGGATATAGCGGTCATTTAGATTGGGAACTGGGGAATGGATTCAGTCAGTGGACTGGATCCTGACCTCCCCTAAACATTGTGGCCCACTTTGACCAGTGGGTGCAACCGCCACGACTATGGCAAGCATTTTCCTTGGCCCACACAGTTATATTTCAAGCCTTGCAGGCAAAGGAAGTGGGATTTGCAGCTGCAGCTGCTGGTCAAACCAGGCAGGTAAAGATGGTGTTTCTCTACATGGCTTGTTGTAAGTGCCAATCAGCTGTTTGGTGCTTATAGCAGGCACTGCTCTGGTCAGGGATCAGCTGTACTACAGAGTTCCCAGTTGGGAGCTTGATAGTGTTACCAATTTCAGCAGGGCTTATTATCAGCACCAATCAGCTGATAGTTTGTGCTGATCAGCTAAAACTGATCTATTTATTACTGATTTATTTTACTGATTTATTTATTTTTTTGCAGCCAAATATACATAATAGCAAGGGACGTGGGTGGCGCTGTGGGTTAAATCACAGAGCCTAGGACTTGTCGATCAGAAGGTCGGTGGTTCGAATCCCCGCGACGGGGTGAGCTCCCGTTGCTCGGTCCCTGCTCCTGCCAACCTAGCAGTTCGAAAGCACGTCAAAGTGCAAGTAGATAAATAGGTATTACCTATTACCCAGCGGGAAGGTAAACGGCGTTTCCATGTGCTGCTCTGGTTCGCCAGAAGTGGCTTAGTCATGCTGGCCACATGACCCAGAAGCTGTACGCCGGCTCCCTCTGCCAATAAAGCGAGATGAGTGGCGCAACCCCAGAGTCGGTCACGACTGGACCTAATGGTTTACCTTTACCTTATACATAATAGCAGGTGTGGGGCAGGTGAGTGTTGGTTGTGGAAAATAACCTCACATCCAAGTTAGGCCCCGTTGGATCTGATTTGGCCTGCGGGCTAGCTTTAGATGTTCAGGGTTCAGGTAACGCCAAGCTGTAAATGTTAAACCAGCACATTGACATGCGCTTGGAAGAACACAGAAAACCAGTTCCAGGGCTGGATAATTGTTGTACGGTACTCTTTTTAGAAAGGGGAGAGCAACTGTGCACTGTACCTGCTGACACTCTCAGAGAGTCATCAAGGGCAGCTCACGTAAACGTGTCAGAGTAGTGTGGTGTAATATTGTAATCCAGCCAGTTTTGACCAGTTCAGGACTAAGCTTTGTCAGATATGAGTATCGAGAGATTTTTATCTCCCGTGCTGAGCTCATTGCAACACTGCCTGATGCACTAAAGGTTTGCTCATACTGTGACTTGTTTGTGTCTCTCCCTTGCTTTGGGGCAAAGGGCAAACAAAAAGCGGATAAGAATAGGGCACGTGTAGAAGAGAACTTTCTGAAACTGACTCATGTGCAAAGGCAAGAGGCTGCTCAGTCCCGCCGGGAGGAGAAGAAACGTGCCGAGAAAGAGAGAATCATGAACGAGGAAGATCCAGAAAAGCAGCGCCGCTTGGAGGTAAAATGAGCTTTAGATGCAAGCCCCATTGTACTAGGGCAGGGTTTCCCAAACTTGGGTCTCCAGCTGCTGTTGGACTACAAATCCCTAGCTAGCAAGACCAGTAGTCAGGGATGATGGGAATTGTAGTCCAAAAAACAGCTGGCGATCCAAGTTTGGGAAACGCTGTACTTGAGCATAGTGGAAAATCAAGCTCTTGCCAAAGATGCTGGGCTTGCTGGAGCTCGTGAGGTGAAGAGCACACCCTTTCTGAGATCTCCGGTGTGTTTAAAATGAGCATTATAAGTTTGGAATGCTCACTTACTATAAAATTCAGTGGTGACCCATGTGTCATCGCCCCCCCCCCACTTCTGCTTGTCTAGTTTATACGTGGTAATAGGAAGAATGCATCACTTTCTGCTTCTGTTTGCATGCAGAAATAGCAGGTACAGTGGATATACAATGGAGATTAATCCAGGGAAAGTGATCTGTAGAGATAAGCTTTTTAAGTGAGTCATTCTCAAAGTAATAACTTGTGCTCCCCATGAAGCTGTTTGGAAAACTTCTATAGCTCCTGCTATAGCCATCTGTGTATATCCTGCCTTTTACATTAAATTTGTAGGCATCCTGCTTTTCCTCCAGATTGAGCTGAGCTTGGGTGTCTGCCCCAATATCCCAGAATGAAAGATGTCAGCTTTTTCAGGCACTCTTGGGGCTTTAGATGGTCACGTGATATCACTGACCCCCTGATCTCGATGTTTCTCAAAATTGTTCTGCTGTTTTCTCCTATGTTGGCCCATTAGGTTCCTATGCAGGGTCTTAGCATTCCACCTATGCTTTCTCATTCTAGCTCCTTAATGCTAGATGCATTAAGGCTCTAGGTGCTGTATCCTTAAGATCTCTCCAGACGGAGCTTTGTATTTTTCAGAACAACGTGGTTGTATGATCTCCCAATACAGGTTTGGCCTTCCAAGTAGCTCAACAGGTACTAGTGCCTTTCCCCCCTGTGACTTTCCAACCCCATGGAGGAAACATCAATATCCAACAAAGAAACCTATATGTTAGCAGAGACTTGTTTGCTCCTAAAAAAGAAAGTGAAGAATTCTCATTTTCATTTTTACAAAATTTGCACATTGACATTTTACCAAAATACAAACCATACATTCATCATCGACTTCCTTCCCCCCTTCCGTGGTTCATTTTGTTAACCCTTTACCGCTGGGTATTCTAATTATTCCATCTTCTCTCAGTTTTATTTCAATAAACTTTATACCATTGTTCCTTTTTGTCCTTTCTTGGCAACTCTTACCTAGATGGTTTGAGTCCTTTGCTCTGGCTTATACCCCAGCAATGCCAAATGGTAATATTAGTCAATTTTATTTAGGGGTGCAGCAGCCTTAGTAGTCCTTTGAGAGAGAACCCCCTTAGTAGAGTTTTGTAGGGCCTCCGATTGCACAGTCACAAGACATTATAAAGATAGAAATCTTTGCCTTGGCCAAGGCAGCCTTTTGGGTGAATTATTCTGCAGAGACCTCAAGCAGTAGAAATTGGTAACTACCAGGATTGGCTTAGGAGGTAGCAATTTCCTCTGTTGGATGTCCTCTTGCCTGTGAAGAGAGGGAAGGAAAATCTTACCAGGTACATTTCTGTTCTTGTAGACAGGAGAGCATTGGGTTCCTGCCAATGTCAAAACAGTCAGTTCTCTGTTCGGGTTTTGTGGTAGGTTGGGCTACTTGGGACTCTTGCATGTCCAGCTGTAGAGTGGATGACCTGTCCATATTTTCTTAGTGATTGATTACTGCAGTGTTTTGGCTTCCAGCCAGCCTGGGTATTCGATGGGAAGTCCACCTCCTTAGAAAGTCATATCATTTTGCTCTCCTGCAGAAATTCACTAGGCAACAGTTTCTTTTCCCACCCCACAGCAAGATGTGGGAGAGATCTTTGGATCACCCACAACAACTGAGTCACATGCGGTTGCATTTGTGGCACAACAAAGTGATTATCTGGAAAAACCGTTAGCCTAGACTCCCAACTTTATTTCCTTGATGACTTTGAATTTGTGCTTTTGTTTTCACAAGCAAAACACACATGGACTCACGCAGTTTGTCGCCTTTCCAACAGGAGGCTGCTTTGCGGCGTGAGCAGAAGAAACTTGAGAAGAAGCAAATGAAAATGAAGCAAATCAAAGTGAAAGCCATGTGAAGAACAAAGCTGCGAGAAACCTCTTTTCTTGGTGCCAACCCTAGAATTGCAATTTGCTTCCTACAATGAACTAATTATATTCCTGACCTTAATCATTGCCCATTAAGAACCACTTCTGACACTAGCCTTTGTTGCTCATGGGATTATGTTCAAAGCGTTTCTGTGAATGTGTACATGTGGCAAGGTTTGTTAGAACGCCAAGGAGCTTTTCCTGGGTGAATCGCAGGATTTTTCCTGGAAACGTTGCATGGGTCATCAGTTCTGATTTAACTTCTACGTGTGCCTGCGTGCACTGGGTTGCTTCAAAAAGTGATCCCATAAACACCAAAGTTACATTTCAGTCGGCAGCGAGCGAGGTGTTCTTTGCATTGGCACTCCCAGCAGGTAGGATACAACCCTGAAGCCCACTTCAGTCCCCCTTGGTGTGTGGGACTGGACTGCTAATAAATATTTTCAGGGTTGCAGCCACTGCTCTGGTTTTATGTACATGCAGATGTGTATATAGAGAGCTTTGCAATAGTCTTCCATGTTGTTGGATTGTTCATTTTACCCTACTTGCTTTGGTATTGGAGAAAATTGCAATATTCCTTGGAATTCTTTGACTCCTTGTTTCTTTAAAAGTATATATCTATATATATATATATATATATATATGGGAAGTTTCCTAGAATGTGCCAGCAATGCATATGCACTTTGATACTATTTTTGGGAATGGGGCAAAATAAAGACTTAAAATGGCCAAAATTAAAGAACAACCAACCAACCTTCACGATGGGGTGGAGGTGGAACACCACTCCTGTAATTGGCGCATCCAGCACAGTTAGATATCAAGCGATTAAGCACAAAACACAAATGCTTTCAATAGTTCAGGTTTTAAAACCAATTGTAGCGCATGAGAGAAGGGGAGATTTCCTTCTTTCACAGCTCTTGTAATAGGAAGGTGCTAAATGTGTATTATTTAAATACTTGCAGTTTCCCCAAATCATTAATCTGGAATTATTCCGGGGGGCGGGGAGCTGCTGAGTGTAGTTTGGGGCAAGCATATTGGAAATCAATCTGTGGACGACATATTGAAAAGCCTGTGTGTGTATAAGCACTGCTGTTCAAGCTTCATAGGATCTGGGCCTGAAGATTCGTGCATGCTATTGTTGGTGTGTAAGTCGGCAATTTGGAAACGACAGGTGCAAAAGAATTTGCCCAGTGATATTTGATTTTTCTAAACATATATATGTATCTGGTTTAAAACAATGTGTGCCCTATCTGTAAAATTGCACAGAAATTGGGGGGCATAACAGTTGGTGAGCCCCCTGCTGCTGCATAAAGTTCTCCGTGGAATCAAACGTGGTTCCTCATGCATCAGCCCGTTACTGAAAGCCATCCCAACACAGCAGACTAGTGTGTATCTGCACATGGTTTTGCTGTGCCCATTTCCCCATGTGGATAGTGCTTGCTGGTTCTGGCTGAGTTCACATGTTGGGTTCCTTTCCTTCTCTAGACAGATGCCTATGTGTGTTTGTTTAGCAGCTTTTTCTGGGTTTCAGTGTGTTCTAATTGTGTCTCACCTTCCCTGGTAATTTCTTCTTTTTATGTTTCTGAGGCTGCTGGCTATATAACAGTTTGGCAAGGAGCTTTAGAGGAGTGTACCTTTTGTTTCTGTTAAAGGTTATTTACTGAGGAGTTGGTGTATGCTGGGGAAACTGGAGTTTCTCAACACTTTGCAGTCTTGCGGAATTGCTGCATTTTATAAATGCTTGACTAGCTGGCATTTAATCATTTGTACGTAACGGATACACTTTCTGTGGTGGGTTTAATGGGAAGGAACTTGTTTCTTAATGTATTTTCTTGACGATGCTTTTACCTGCAAATATCTTTGATGCAATAACATTGAGCTGCTCCTCTAAACAGGCATGTGCTAAAAATACATTTGTCAGAGCATGGAAATGCACAGGTTCTTTCTGAATGCAAAAACAAAAAACCCTGCAGCCTGAAAAAAAAGGCATTTGAATTTAGTAATTTTTATAACTACCACTTATAGTACTTTACAGCAGAAATAGCAATCCTATGTGGGATTCAAACTATTTTGTCACTAGATGTAGAAAGTAAAATTGAATAAAGTATTGTTTCACAGAGGTCCTCTTTTAAAGGAAATTTTTAAGCGGCTTGCTTTGTGTTCTGGAATAAAGGGGGCGTATTATTGAACTCACATAAAATGGGGCAGTGGATGCAGTGTGTGTGTGTGTGTGTGTGTGTGTGTGAACTACATAAGAAAAAAGAAAAGGCAAAAATTTAAAAACAGTTCCAACTCCTTTTTTGAGTGGAGAGGCTGTATTATTGAGTTTTTTGTCCGTTTCCTTCCAGAGTTTGTTCCTGGATTGCCCTTCCTCTTTGAAGAAGGGTACTTGTATTGCGGTGAGGTGGCCAGCAAATTTGGGAGAGCAGGAGTGAAGTTGGCAGGTATATGTACTTTCTTACTGTGCCAAAATGGGATGAGGTGGGGATTATTCAGGGCATCATGTATTGTACACATATTCCACCTACCTTCATCCTTTGGGAGAATGGAACTTGTACAGCTTCCTTAGAAGGTTGTCCCTCCTGTAACTGGGTGTATGTGTACATATATTTTTTCCCTTCATTTTTTTCTAAATGCCTCATTCAGCTATGGAGTTTGGGGCAGAATACGCAGAAATTTAAAATCTGCAAAAAAACAATGTAAAACACGGCCAACAATACAAGTAAAACTGAGAAGAAGAAAACCATCCAACTTACATATACACATTCATGTAAGTATTTTCGAATGGAGTAAAGGGAGGTTGGGGCTTTTGTGAAAACGAATTGTGGCCCACCAAACCTAGGAATTTAGAAACATTTGGGAAATAACGATGTGGCTTTGTGGTTAAGGGTGTTGGGAGTAGAACTGGGGAGACTTGGGTTAAGTTGACCTTACTGCTGATCAGTCTATACTAGGAAGATTTATGGCTTCATACAAAAGGTAATAAAGTAAAGGTAAAGGGACCCCTGACCATTAGGTCCAGTCGTTGCCAACTCTGGGGTTGCGGCGCTCATCTTGCTTTATTGGCCGAGGGAGCCGGCATACAGCTTCTGGGTCATGTGGCCAGCATGACTAAGCCGCTTCTGGCGAACCAGAGCAGCGCACGGAAACGCCGTTTACCTTCCCGCTGAAGCGGTACCTATTTATCTACTTGCACTTTGACGTGCTTTCAAACTGCTAGGTTGGCAGGAGCAGGGACCGAGCAACGGGAGCTCACCCCGTTGCGGGGATTCAAACCGCCGACCTTCTGATCGGCAAGTCCTAGGCTCTGTGGTTTAACCCACAGTACCACCCTCGTCTCTCCATCAAGCTTTGTTGTTGTTTAGTCGTGTCCGACTCTTTGTGACCCCATGGACCAGAGCACGCCAGGCAAATGGGGCACTGCCCTACCAACCTCACTGCTCTCATCCAGCAGCTCTCTTCCTTACAACCAGGGACTGCCACTGCCTGCCAGTCTCTGTGTTGCCCTTGAAGATCTCAGCAAGAGAGGAGCATGGGGACAAAACCAGAATTATTTAGCTTTGCCTATCATTGATTCTGGCTTCACTAGTTGTTGACCTCCCTGCTTGCTGCCCTACCAGTTCCAATGGTCCCCAGCTGCCCCTGAATCTAAGGTAAGATTCCTCTGGAATGTACCTCTGAGCCCCTAACAGTCCTCCCTCCAATATTTTTTCCTGCCATCAGGAAGAGCTGCCATGTAGTAGCTGCTTATCTGAAGCAAGGTGATCCTGGTCAACAGCACTTTTAATCTATATTGAACAGTCTTCCCATGCTTATTGCGACCAGCTCTGATATCTCCCCCTCTTCCAGTGGTCCTAAGGAAATGGCAAATGCCTTCGGGTAAGAGGAAGAAGCCAGGTTATACCTCTCTCCCAACTCTTATGCCTGATCTACACATGCAGCAGAATGGTGTGTGCAGAATGAACTGCAGGTTGGTTGGGGTGGGTTTCACCTTTTCTGTGCAGTGGTCCCTTTATAAGAAACTAAGGAGGATTGTGGCCAGCCCTTTTCCTGATTGCTGTTGTTTAGTTATTTAGTCGTGTCCGACTCTTCGTGACCCCATGGACCAGAGCACGCCAGGCACTCCTGTCTTCCACTGCCTCACACAGTTTGGTCAAACTCATGCTGGTAGCTTCGAGAACACTGTCCAACCATCTCGTCCTCTGTCGTCCCCTTCTCCTTGTGCCCTCCATCTTTCCCAGCATCAGGGTCTTTTCCAGGGAGTCGAGTCTTCTCATGAGGTGGCCTCAGCTTCAGGATCTGTCCTTCCAGTGAGCACTCAGGGCTGATTTCCTTCAGAATGGATAGGTTTGATCTTCTTGCAGTCCATAGGACTCTCAAGAGTCTCCTCCAGCACCACAATTCAAAAGCATCAATTATTCGGCAATCAGCCTTCTTTATGGTCCAGCTCTCACTTCCATACATCACTACTGGAATGTTACTTTTATTTGCAAGGAATTATTCACCGTGGGAAACATTAAAAAATGTGAGACATACACACACAGTCTGAAATGGTGCGTCTGCAGCAGGTGTAGATGCAGAATTTAATTATTGGAAAGTGATTAATTAAAGGTTGGGATGTAAAATGCCCTGCAAAACCAAATACGAAAGATGATAGTGGTGTGACCAGCTGCTGTCATTCAGTGGTGAAAGGATGCTCTCTGTACATAATTGTACATTCTGCGCTTTCTCTCTTGTTTTCTGAAATAAAAATGCAGGAATTGAAAAGGATTTTGTATTTGACAGGAATGCGATCAGAAATTTGAAGGGGCTTCCACAAAGGAGATGAACAGAAACAACACGTGTCCCAACATTTTTTTATTAGTATTTCGTTGTCATCCATTTTATCCTCGTTCTGCCTTCTTTTTTCTTCTTTTTAAATTTTTTAAATTAAAGTTCTTAAGGAAATCAGCCCTGAGTGCTCACTGGAAGGACAGATCGTGAAGCTGAGGCTCCAGTACTTTGGCCACCTCATGAGAAGAGAAGACTCTCTGGAGAAGACACTGATGCTGGGAAAGATGGAGGGCACAAGGAGAAGGGGGCGACAGAGGACGAGATGGTTGGATAGTGTTTTCGAGGTTACCAGCATGAGTTTGACCAAACTGCGGGAGGTAGTGGAGGCCAGAGGTGCCTGGTGTGCTCTGGTCCATGGGGTCACGAAGAGTCGGACACGACTAAACGACTAAACAACAACAACAACAACAAATTAAAGTTTTGATGATACAGAAAGATAAAAGAAAATATATAGACCCACAAAAATAAACTGCTATTTACACAAACAAAAATCCTTTCCACCCTCGTGACTTCCCCTCACCACACCCCACAGCTTCCCTCCACCACACCTCGACTTCCATATATTTTAAATTCGGTACAAACATTGCAATCTTTTAGGTTTTAAATTTTAATCTCTTTATAAGATCACTTATTAATGCTTTCTTTTCCACTTTACTCCTTTAGTCTAAGCATATCAGCATATTCTTTTTTGAACAGTGTTCATCCATATATTCCTGCTTTCATACATTCAGGCATTAAAGACAGGATCTACCCAAACCCAATTCTACTGTAAAAGAACAAGAAACAGATATTGACTTAGAGTGGTTGTGGGAATTGCGAGTTTTGAATCTCTACTCCAGACCAATTCATTTCAAATTTGGATGCAAAAAGAGCACTTCAAATGTCAATATAATGTGAATGGTTCCTGTGCGCTTGAATTGCCAGCTTTCTCTGCAATGTGTATGGGAGAAACATTGGGACAGAATTAGGCCTACATCTGTATAGCCTGAAACAGAAGACCTGGCCCTTTAAAATGTGTATGTGCACCATTTATGGTTTTCTCCTTGTACATTTTAATTGTTTCTCCATGCAGAACAAGACATATATGCAAAGGCAGGCGTCTTTTCTACACACCTTTCAAATTATGAGCTCGTATTTTCCTTCTGTCACCTTTGGTACAATTCTTAGTTCACCTTGCACTGCTTCTGCTATGCTGTACAGTACACTCTTTTTTTCCTTTTAAGTGGCTGACCTCTGTGTTTTTTCTTTAACACAATTCTTTTTGCCATTCTCATACCAAACTTGGTTGACGCAGAGCACGCTCACAAGCATGAAAGTAATAGATGACTTTTTAAATGGCCTGGTCCGATGCAGAGTTGAGGAGGGCTAGTCCACTGGTTTTCATGGGCCTTGGGTGTGATGACCTCTGCATTGGATTGGGGTAGAGAAAAAGGAGGAGGACAACATAATTCAGCTATTATGTAAGTGCCTGCAGAGGGCTTTATAATCTGCAATTCGTCTCTCTAGTTCTGAACTCTGTCTGATGAGTAACTAGGTGTTTAATTCCCACACTTCACTGTAAGTCTTAACTACATGGAAAATTAAGGCTATTTGCTACCTGTAAAACACACCCATAGGCAAGCCCCTATGATGATAACTGCTTGCTTTGGGATAGCATTAACACAGGGGCGTGCCTATGTAATTCAAAATTTGTGCCTGAAAATAGGAGTCTTAGGCACTGTACATTTAAAGCGGTATCACACCGCTGTAAACAGCCATGGCTTTCCCAACAAAGAATCCTGGGAACTGTAGTTTGTTGTTAGGTTGTTATAAGACCCTCTATCCCCTTTGCACAGCTAAAATTTCCAGGGTGGTTTAATAATCAACCCCTCTTCCCAGGAAATGGGGAATTGTAACTCTCTGAGGGGAATTAGGGGTGGTCTCCAAACAATTCTCAGCAAACAACTACAGTTCCCAGGATTCTTTGGGGTAAGCCATGGCTTTTTAAAGTGGAATGATTCTGCTTTAAAGGTACAGTGCAGATGGGGGCCTAACATTTGGTCACTGCATGTATTCAGTGATTTTTGAATGTGTTTCCAATCATTCATTTGACAAGGAAATACCTTTACTGGTTTATCTGAAGCACAGTATGTTCTAAAGATTATGATTTGGAGGGGGATGCCTTGGCTCAGTAGCTGTTTTTGAAAATTTAGATAATCTTCTGGCCCAAGCTGCTTTACAACTTGTTCCTACGTTAGTTAACTCAAAAGTGCCCCACTTTGGTAAAGCCCTGTTGAACAGCATAGGG